GGAATATCTCAAATATCAAGCAAGTGTATAATAGGGGTTATCAAACCAAATTAGCGTTTATAGGGGATCAAACTGAAATGCAACACCTATTGAAACTTCTAGATGATAACAATTATGTTTCTAGGAATCAAATATGTGAGGATGGAGTAACATGTTCAATAAATTTTCCATTGTGCTTATAATTGATTTAACGTATAAGACCAACAAATACAAACTTCCATTGTTGGAAATTACTGGTCGACTGAGATGACATATTCTGTTGGTTTTGCATTACTGAAATATGTTGAAAGCACAATTTTGGACCATGTAAAGGAGAAGTTTGTTTATGGTTGGACAAATAAGGTTATGCACCTTGGAAATACAACAACAAACCTAGTTGAGTCTGCTCATGCTTGTTTGAAGAATTGGTTGGGAAATAACAAGGGTGATTTGTGCGTGGATTCGAAATCTGTAAACCAAATGATACTAAACCAGCATAATGAGATACAAACATCATTTGATTGTAGTATCAGTGTTGGAACACAGGCTCAAAGACAACCCTCGATATTCTCAATTTGTTAGATTCATGTCTCGATCAACTCTGAATTATATTTTTCACGAAGCTAAACGAGCTTTTAATGTAGGTTATGATAGCTCAAAGTGTGGTTGCACATTTGTGAAAACGTATGGTCTCTCATGTGCTTATGTTATATCTAAGAAAGTGTAACTTGATTGCCCGATACGAATGAACATGGACTGTAGTTATTGAAAGAGGCTCGGTTTTGAAGATGATGGTGTTATGAAAGACGGTAAATCGAATATCTCCATCCTGACCGAATGAGAAGCGATACACAAAATATTTTTGAAAGTCGATGACAAGACAAAACTCCACATCAAAGATGAATTGAGGAAGATCGCATTCCCGGAGACCAACGACTTGAAACCACCCTTTAAATCGGTAAAAAAATGAAAGGAGCACCTAAGAAGGTGAAACCTACACCAGGTGACAATTCAACAACGAGGAGTTCATCATATTTTGAATATGTTGACAAACATTTTCCCGATTCACCGACTCAGAAATCTCATAGAAGTGTTTTTAAAAGAGCCTGCATTAACAAACCACATCCTACACCGACTCCACCAAAAATACCACTCATCGAGGAGATGTCAGTTTTTATGTATAATTACATTGAACATATCATCAATGTTAGGGGTGACAATAAATGTGGTTTTCGGGTTGTTTTTAGTTTGCTCGGTAAAGGGAAAGAGGATCACCAACTTGTCTGCGATACTCTTATCAGAGAGTTGAGGAGTAATAGAGAATTATACTCACGGGAGCTCGGGACTAAAGAGAAAGTTGAAGAAATTTATCACGCTCTTGTACCTTGCGTCCGTGGATTTGCACCGGAGGGAAAATGGATGTGCTTCTCTGAGATGAGTCATCTCATGGAAAGTGCATATAGGAGTATGTATTAATATTACAAGATACAGTTTCTCAGAAACTTTTTCCCACTACATGCTGCTCCACCACCAAATTCCAATGATCGTATCATCTATGTTGTGAGGGTTTCAAATCCGCAGCATTTTCTTCAAGTGTATTTGAAACTGGGATGCCTTATACATCTTATATCACCGAAGTGAGTGAATCATTATATAATCCAATCTGAGACTTGGCCGTACCAATTTATTAAAATGATGCAACAGTACACCAAACTGAACAATATTGAAATAGAAGAAAAAAAATAAGGAAAAGTCAAAGGGGGTGTCACTTATAGATTTGACAGGCGACAATTATTTCGGATAATTTAAGTGGTTATTTATCATTTTATTCTATATGACATTTGGTTAATGTATTATGTTGTGGAATATAAGTATTTTGTAGTTTATCCAAAAATACTAGCATTCAAGACAATTATCTGTTTCTGTTTCTGTTCTGTTTTATGGTTTTTAATATCAGGGAAGTTTCTGGAGATACATCTCTGATACAAAATTAAGAGTGTTTACGGAGTTACATCTCTGATACATTCTTTGTCAGCCAATAGGGTTTGTATGGTCTATAATATCATCTCATTACTATAAATAAGCTCACTTGTGGTTTTTGTTTCATACCAAAATACAAAAAACCTGCATAAACACCAAATGCCATGTTGAAAATGTTCACTTTATCGGTAATACACCATACTGAGAATTTAAAATCAATGAGTACACCCCTCTTGAAGATTTGCAATACTATTGCAGGAGCTCCTACTATATGGTGACAATCAAAAAATCGTGAAGATCGAGTACCGCTCCCCATCAGTTGACGGAGAAAGGAAGCTCGAGTTCAACAACCATGAGCTGAAGACGGACGCTGATTTACAGCCTATGTGGAAAACCTTTTCCGTTTAGAATCAAAAGTTATAATCGACTTGGATGCGACTATTTCGAGATCGGCCGATGATATTATCAAAATGTTGCAACGTCCGCCAGGATATTGAAGTGTAATGTTTGATCTATGTTAAAATCTCTTATATATTGCTTATTTTATTATATCAATGGTGTTAGAATTTTGTGAAGTTGGTGTATTTCATTTCTGATTTTGTTGTATTTTGTAAGGCATTTTTTCAAAAATATAATACCGATTTGATACTGTAAATATATCTCTGAAAAAATTTGTGTTATATCACATCCTAAATGCATTTCAGAGATATATCAACAAAATCTAAAAACATTTAAGAATTTTTACGCGGTACATTAAAAAAACATAAACTATGTTAAGAAATTCTCTAATTCACTTCTTTCTAAAATCGCTTCATTTTAATGTGATGTATGGTCTAGGTCCAGGCAAAAGCAAAAGTAGAGCTCAAATAGTAAAAATATTGGGTGAGAAAATAAGAGTAGAGAACAAAAAGGTGAATGAACAATTTCGAAAAACGAAACAAACTTTCCCTTAGTACGTAGCAAAGCACATGATAGTTGATTTGGTTCTGTTATATGTTGATTTATACACTCTCTCTGCCCAAGAGAATAAAAAGCATGAAATCATTCTTCTACATGGTAATTGGTAAAAAAACTCAAAGCAAGAATGTGTGAATTGCATAACAAGCTTTGAAACATATATTCTCTCTCTCTCTGGTCTCTAATATAATTTTTATTTATTTTAAATTTATTAAAAAATTAATATATTTAGACTACATATAATTTAAATAAATTAATTCTTCAATAAATCTAAAAAATAAACCTTTTTAATATTAAAAACCAGAAATAATAGTACATAATTTTGACCAAATCTAAAACGTTGACTATGCTTACTTCATCTCCAAACTACCTCCAACAAAGACATATATTTTCATATTACTGTATGTTCCTTTTAAGACAAGTGAAACAAAAGAAAAAGGTCAATTAATTAAAGAAAAGATTGAAAATGAGGTTTGTGTCTCATAAATGACATTTATGCTATGCATCAAAAGCTTGAAACCCAAGCAAGTAAGAATCACAATCAATCTTCCTATTAATGGAACTCATTCACTAAGTATCAAACTCAGGATTTATTTGGTAAGGTGTAAATGTGATGTTAGAGACTTAAAACAGAATTGAAAACAAAATGAGGAATACACATTTATTAGTTAGTATGATTTATTTTTCCGGAAATTAGAGAATCATATTCTAGCTTTTACTTTATGTCCTATTCGGTTATTAAGTATCATCTGCATTATGTTAGCTGTCACTCACTCAATATCTACTATCCCTACATAAAATTAAAATCCACACTTACCCTCTGTCTCTTCCTAGTGTTTCTTCCTTTGATACCAAGCTTTTTGTCTCACCTGTTTCAACTTGTAAAAATATTATATTTCTTAATAACCATTTTACAAAATTGAGGATATCAACAAAAGTAGTTGTAATACTTTTTTTTTTTATTTAAATTAATTCTTTTTATAATAACTGATATCGCAAAAAAGTCATATTCTTTAACGGTAAATTAAAGAGAAATATTTTGTGTACATAAAATTTGATTTCAATACCAATTTTAACACTAATTTAATAATATACGTCTTATTCAAGATAAGAAAATAAGAGTGATTTTTGAAGTGTTTATATCAGCTTTAAAATATATTTAAAAAATTACTTGGATGGATGAGTAGTTAAACGAGTGTAAAATATTAGTTCATAATTCAATTGAGATGGTATTTATTTATATTTTGACTAAATGAATGTGAGTTATTGCTCAATTTTTCAACTATTGACAACAAAACTGTTTTGTATTTTTTTATATCGAACAAATATAAACAAGTTAATTTAAAAAAAAAATACATGTTAATTTTTGTGACTTTAAATATTAAAAATCCATATAAAAATTATTTTCATAAATTATTAAAAATTCTTTTATAAAACATGAAAATATTAAAAAGTGTGTTTTATAACTAGTAGTTAAGAAGATATAATTTTAAGAAATGGTAGAAATTAAAATTAAATACTAAATAACCAGAAAAAAATTGATAAAAATAAATTCTGTCTCTTGTGTTGTCCCTCATAGTATTTTATAATTTTGTCAAAATATAATATTACATAGATGTTAGTGGTAAAAATAAAATAGTAAAACCCAATCATTTTGACAGCTTCCATACCTATCCAATGTGTTTTGCTTCAGGTTCGGAAGATATAAAGGCATGCGAGAGTCACGTGAATCACAGTGTTCACCCGAAGCAAAGATGCTAACGTGGCATCCGAAGCTAAGGTGAGGAAGCCACATAGGCTCGGACAACCGTTTGACAGGAACACTTCCCAAGAAACAAAGAACATTAAAAAATTAGGTTCGTTGGAAGCGAGCGAGTGTACCAAGTACAAGAAGAAAGTAAAAAGTAGCATCAACATTTTTGGTTGTTGTGTTCGCTGCATTCCATTACTCTGCTCCTTCTCTCACAAGCCAAATTTCAGATTCACCTATTGCTTTCTCTTCAAGCTTAATCGCATCTTCTCTTTCTCTTGCCTATAAAACCGAAAACACTCTCTGCTTCTTCCTCCTCGTGCATTGAGTTTCAATGGCGAAGCCAATGATTCTTTCATGCTTTCTTCTGTTTTGCTTCTGTTTATTACAAACACAGGTTATAGTTGCTATTTTGGATCCAACTGATTTTCTAGCTTTGCAATCTATTCGGAAATCTCTAGAAGACATGCCTGGTTCTGATTTCTTTTCTTCATGGGATTTCACTGCTGATCCTTGTAACTTCTCCGGCGTCTTATGTGATTCCGATAAGGTTATCGCACTCAACCTCGGTGATCCGAGAGCCGGTGCAACGGGTTTAACGGGACGCCTTGACGCCGCCATTGGTAAACTCTCTTCTCTAGTCGAGTTTACCGTTGTTCCGGGAAGGATATACGGTACTCTGCCTCAAACCGTTTCCAATTTGAAGAGCCTCAAGTTTCTTGCTATTAACAGAAACTTCATCTCCGGCGAGATTCCGGTGGAGTTAGGTGAGTTACGCAGTCTTAAAACTATTGATCTCAGTTACAACCAGGTCACCGGAAAAATTCCTCCGACGGTCGGATCATTGCCGGGGCTAACAAATCTCATCCTCTGCCATAACCGTCTCACCGGTTCTATCCCTCGGTTCGATTCTCAGAGCTTGACCCGGTTGGACCTAAAGCACAACACTCTCACCGGTTCACTTGGTCCAAACTCTCTCCCTCCGTCACTTCAGTATCTCTCCTTGTCATGGAATCAACTCACCGGCTCAATGGACCGGGTTCTGACTCACCTCGAGGAGCTAAACTATTTAGACCTTAGTTTAAACCAGTTCACTGGACCCGTTCCCGGTCGGATATTTTCATTTCCACTAAGCAATCTCCAATTACAAAGAAACCAGTTCTCCGGTTCAGTTGAACCAGTGGATCAAGTTGCAATTCCAACCGTTGATCTAAGTTTCAACAGATTATCCGGTCAGATATCACCAATGCTAGCTAGCGTGCAGAATCTTTACCTGAACAACAACCGGTTCTCGGGTCGGGTACCGGCTAGCTTTGTGGATCGGTTATTGGATGCGAGTATTCAGATACTGTATTTGCAGCATAACTATCTAACGGGGATTGAGATTAGTCCAACGGCTGTGATTCCAGAGAGAAGCTCATTGTGTATGCAGTATAATTGCATGGTCCCGCCCGTAGAGACTCCCTGCCCTTTGAGGGCTGGAAAACAGAAAACAAGACCTACCACACAGTGCAACCAGTTTAAGGGCTGAATCTGAGTAGATAGAGCAAACTTTATCTTCACATTATAAAAATCATATAGGTTCTTTTCTTCTTGCTTTTCTAATATTTTATTTTTATTTTATTTTTTGCTATTAATTTTTAATTCATTATTATTATAATTATTATTGTTAAATTTTGTGATAGCTGTGGAGGAATGAATAGGTGAAATAAGAAGAATGTGAATATTAATGAAACTGTAGCTATTTTTTGTCTAATGCTTTATGTTATATTACTGTTATGTTATATTACTAATGTAATATGATTCATTATGTTGTGATGTTACATTTTTAAGCAAATCTGTCTGGATTGAAACTTTAGAATGCCGTCACTTGTGAAATTTTCTTGTGTGGTGAATTGAATTGCGCTACATAGATCAAACTAGTGGCTTAGAACATGAAAGTAAAGAATGAGATATGATTTCTATGATTGAGTCATAAACCTCTTGAGTTTCCGGTTCAGTATCTGACATTGAGTTTGAGTTGCACAAGAATTAGACATACGCTTCTATCAAATTTTTGCTAGTCTTTATACAAGTTATGTAACTATGTTGTTATCTCTCATTTTCACTAATAAATATAGTAGCTAAAATCAGTCCCAGCTATTATATTTGAAGGAGGAGAAAATTGAGAGCAGCATTACCAAACACATCAACCTCTTTCATCTTACTTCACATATTCACCACTTCAACAAAACCCCTCTTTTTCTAATCATTCAATCAAAAACAATTTTCCACTTCACTTTTCAAAATTAACACATAATTAACAAATGCTTGTTACCTCGACCAAGCAATAGTTTTAGAACTATTTCATGTGCAAAACTCAACCATTAAATTGGTTGGAATTCGAGTGTGACGTTCATTGTCTCAAGGTTTTTTGGTGGATATGTGATGTCGATTTCTCTCGTGTCTTAGACGGTTATAACGTTTCCTAGACTCTCTGAATACAAATTAACGATGAATATTCATTTTTATCATAATCTTTTCTATAAGATTGAACCAAGGTCAAGAAGGGCCATAGACAGTCATCAGTCTCTTGTTTAACTGTTAAGATGTTGTTCCATTGCTAATCTCATCACCATCCTTCTGTTTCTCGCCTCCAATGTTCTGGTCGAACAGCAGAGAAGTGCTGGTGGAGATGCAGTCACAAGGTTTGGTGAAGACAGTTAGAAATCGGCCATAACGGTTCAGTTTCCTCTCTCGTCTATTGCCATTTTTTAAAACCTTTTTTGTCTCCCATCTATTGAAATACAAAGACTGAAATTAGTGTAGTTCAGCACATGTGGAAATCAATACCGCATGGTGTATATAGTTCCATCCATTTCTCATAGTTATTTTTATAAGAATTGTCTAACAAATAATTGCAATATTTCAGCTAGTATCCTTTAGTGGGAAGAGTTGTAGTGGCTAGTGGCTAAAGTTAACATTTTTCTTCAGCTTTTATATAGCTTTCCATAAGCACGGGGTGCTACTCCCTGCAGTGGAAAATGGTTGTAGGGACAACATCACTCATTTGAGAATCACTTTTTTGTATTGTAATTGTACATGTAAGCTTTGGCTTCAAGTTTGGACTCATAAAATAATATTGTCTATAGGGACAACAACACTCATCATGGCAAACCAACCAAATGCTACTACTATTTCTAGCTCATTTCTTATTTTATAGGTTTTCCATTACTTCACACTTCTCCTTCCGATTCTAAATGATGAGTGTGAGAAAAAAATTATTTCAAAACGAATGTCATTCTCACTTTTCAATATACTAATAATAACTATTTTTTTAAATGTGTTATATAATTATTACTCCGCACACTATTTTCAATAAATTAATAAGGCTAATTTAGTAAAAGTATAATATTTCATGACAATATTATATTTGTGTGTAGCAACCTTAAACGACATTCATTTTAAAATGAAATGAGTATGTTTTAGCTGGATGCATTCCTGTATCTGTTAATAACCATTGGGAATATTCTTGCAACCCTGCCTAATTATAACATAGCAACTTATCTTCAAGTTCAACCAAATTAAATTAAATATCTATTAAAGTTTTAGTCTACATTTATCACTAAAAAAAAATCTAAACAATATTACTGTCATGAATTTAGATTTTTTTTTTAAATAATTAAAGTGTAAAATGAAAATGAAATCTAAAATCATTTTAACAAACTCATAATTTATTATGATGTACTTCCAATATTTATTATTGGTTTGTTAATTAATGGTTTATATTCCTCTCTTTACATTCTAAAAGTGAATTACTTATTTCAGAGGAATCAGACCCCTATTGTGATATATGGAGAGCTCGACTTCAAATCTTGTTTTATGGTTATGAGTACTCAATTTACTTAAAATTTCAGTTATTTCTCTTGTGACAATAATTTAGTCTCACCTGATAACATAATAGAAAATAGAATCAGTTCCAAGTTTTTATACAAAATGTTAAGGTAGTACCTTGGTAGGGTGTTGGCCCTTTTTAGACAAAGAGTCATCTCAGGCCATTAATATGAGAACAGTCTTCTTTCTTTTAAAAATAAAAACTCATAATTTTTTGTCATACTTTATTTTAGAGCATCGGATTTTTTAACCTGCCTTTCTATAATTATCATAAGTTAGTTGTTGTTTTTTATTTAAAAATCGATTTTAAATATGTGACCGAAGAAATTATTGAGCCGAGTCGAAGACTGAGTTGTTCTCTTTAAGACATTTTTTGTGACAATACTAAAAAGAGACTATCAACCACAACACATACAGGATAACACAATTTAGTTCAATACTGATATGATTACTGTTACATAATAAAAAGTCGATTTAGAAATTCACTCTCTATTGTATAAAAACCACTCTAACTAATTCTCAAATGAGGAAAAATTCAAATAAATATTTAAAGAAAATTCAATAATGATTGTTTGACCACACTAAATAATTTCTCAAATAAGAAAAAATTCAGTTAATTTTTTCCAAAGAGAATCCAAGAAACTACTCGAAAACTTCAACGAGTATAAATAAAGGGAAAGAAGTTGGCTTTTTGGCAATTTGAGAACGCATAGTAAATGAGTAACGAAGGAAAAACTCAATAATAATTTTTGGTGTGTTTTAGAATGAAGCAAGCTAACCACAATATGTAATCTAAGCAAAATAGAACTTATAAATTTTCTCAATTAAGACACACAAACACACATAATTTTCTAACAATGTGGGACTTGAGATTTTCTCAATTAACACACAAACACACATAATTTTCAAACAACGTGGGACTTAAGTATTTTTCTTCTTCAAATTCATCCTCATATTGAAATTTTTACATGTTCCAACATATTAGAATTTTGAAATGTTATATGGGAAGTCGTGGGATTTAACTACACTTCCTAAATTTTGAAATCTTTTATAAGTAACGTCAAGTGTTTCTACGATTGTGCATAAAGAGAGGTGTTATGACTTGAACCTTTGCGTAGTAAGTCGAACTTTGATTCAATAAGAGTGACTCATTATCTTAAACTACATCTCAGACATCAAACCCGCACACAACCTTTTCTTAGGGCGTATTCTATAAAATTTGTGCTTTAATGGCTCAACACGCATATCAGAGTTTAGTGAAGACTCTGAGAAATCGTCCTTGAAATTTCATAAGAATCGACCTAAATTCCACAACCACACAACTGAATCTATCAAGAGTAATCATATAGCTTGGTATTCCTCCCATACATAATATAGATCTCATTAAGAGTTTTTATTATCTCTTCCTCTTATCACTTCAGGATTCATGCTTCTCTTATTTATACTAGCACGATCATCTAATATTGCTTACAACTTGATATTATCCATAAACCTAATTCTTGGCATATTTAGTCTTTTAGATCGGGTTTCCATCATAAACAACTCACATATCTATAGGCATTAGTTCCATCTTATTTGTTATATTATGGACTTTCTCTCTAGCTAATCATTTCGTCAAAAGGTTATGCTAAATTTTCATCATTGCGTACTTGATATACTATTACTACTCATTTAAGAATACACTCTATAACAATGTTATGCTTTCTTCTTGTACTCGCTAAAAGTAGAAATATGTGACAATCCCTAGTGATTAAAGTATTTTAGAGGCTTTAGGGATGTTATAGTGTTGAGAGTTAGCTCATGTGGGATGAGAAGCTCTTGTATGTGTGCAATTTTGTGTTATGGTCAAGTCACTCGAGTATTATGATACTAATGTATTTATAGTCCTAGGAATCTGAAACCGAGTCTTCCTAGAATGTAGAAATCACTCTAGGAATGAGTACTTGATTCCTTGAAACCTAGGAAGTGTAGTTAAGTACCACGACTTTCCATATAACATTTGTATACTTAGTATGCATTTTATGCACGATCATGCATTATGGATAGAGCCATTAGAGGCATGGGCGACATATTTGCAAAAGGGGTGCTCGAACCAATACAAGGGCGACATAATATGAAAATAAGGAAAGTGTGTGCCTCTCGCCCTGCCCCCAAAGTTTCTTCTAATTATAGCACTATACATCCCCTCAAGAAAAAGGATTCGTAGAGGCCGAAGTGTTTTAATCCCTTACTCATTTTCTAACTTTCATTTGGAGCCTTATTGAAGCTTTATTTTTGCCCCCAATTTTTGAAGTTTCATATAATCCTTATGGACGAGAGTCAATTGTAGCTCTTGGGAAAGAATTCAGTTGAGTCCCTCAGGCGAGACTTTAGTCGAGTCACTCAGACGAGACTTTATTTGAGTTCCTTAGGAAAGATTTTAATTGAGTCCCTAAAGAGGGGAATTAGTTCAATTCCTTAGAAAAGAGTTTATTTAAGTCCCTCGGGAAATAATTTAGTTGAGTCCCTCATGTAAGACTTTAGTTAAGTCCCTTAGGAGAGACTTTAGTTGAGTCTTTCTGATGAGACTTAGTTGAGTATCTTAGGTGAGACTTTAGTTGAGTCCTCATGGTGTGACTTAGTTTCCTGTGAATGAATAGGATTTTTCTATGGGAATCC